TGCGAGGTATTAGATAAGGTAATTACAGTGAGTTTATCTTGAGTGAGATTTTGACCATAGTAACGTTAAGTTACCTGAAAAAAAAAACGTAACTTTTACTTGGGGTTAACTGCATTAATGAATTCTCTATTTCAGCACAACACTGAGATGAAGGCAAAGTCACCATGAAAAGTTAAACGTTTAACGTTAAGGTAAGCTCTGGTCTTCATGTGGTCATTATGACCAAGTTATCATTATGGTTAGATTTGTAAACTGTAAGTTAGTTATTCACACTAAACTCACAATGAAACAAGTCTAAACTGTTTTATTAAATTGAGCTGATAATAAAATTCAGTTGATGTCTTTTAAGCTAACGTTAATATTAACATAATTCATATTAATTGTCTATTTCTCACTGGTTAATGAGCTTATTGTATAACGTTATTGTTTCATTAATTGTACATTTTATTTTTGGTGTTCAGGTGTAGGGAATGATTTGTATACAAATTTATTTGAACCCCATACAGATTTGTATGGTTGTACCATAGATTTAGATTATTAAATGTTAAGTCTTATTTTACTCTTATTATATTTATCTTTTTTGCAACTACAGCAATTGATGCTGAAAAACTGATGCTACCAATCTCTCCTCACTTGATTATTCAAGGTAATGTTGATGTCTTCCTCATTTTGATTAGATTTTGAAATGTCAAGTTGTTCACAGATTTGTTGTGAGGAGTTTCATGTTCAACCTCTTTTGCTTCTTCCAGAAGCGACGCAGTGGCACAGTAGGTAGTGCTGTCACCTCACAGCAAGAAGGTTGCTGGTTCGAGCCTCGGCTGGGTCAGTTGGCTGAATACAATGGCATAATGATTCTGCTTGCTCACAGGAGGTACTTGATTTAGTTTTCCTCAAGCGATACATCAGTTTTTATGAGTAATGCGTGACACTTCAATTGAAGGGACAGTTCACCCAAAAATGAAAATAATGGCATCTTTGGCATCCTCCACTTGTTTCAAAATAGTTAGATTATTTTTTTGTTCCATTGAACACAAACTCATATTTTTTTTTAAAGAAATTTGGTTCAAATATGGATGTCCATAGTTTCTGGTTTCTAACATTCTTCAAAATATCTGCTTTAGAGTTCAACAGAAATTTTATTGGATTTAAAACACATGGAGTAATGGTGGCAGAAAAGTAAACTATCCTTTTAAATATTTTATTCTGAGACTTATTTAAATGTGTCTTGTCTTTTGCCATATTGTCTTTCTAGCTCAGATTGTGATGGACCTGGAATGTGACACCAGTTACTCTTAAGTCAAGAACCAAATAAAGCACAGATGTGGAGGGATCTGCAACTAAACTAACTGGAGGAAAGGAACCTTTAGGTAAAAACACCTGCTTTATTTAGATCTGAAGTATTTTATTTGGCATAGACTATTCTTTTTTTATTCTTATTTTAATTTTATGTTATGTATACTGAATATAAGTCATTTAAATTTCACAAATGATTGAATATAAAATATCTAGATGTCTTATTTTTTATTGTCTTAAACATTGGTGCTCAACCCTGTTCCTGGAGATCGACCTTTCTGCAGAGTTTACCTCAAACCCTGATCAAACGCAACTAAACAAACTAAATAGTATCTGAAGGAGCACTTGGTAAATAAAGACAGGTGTTCTTGATCAAGGTTGCAGGTAAGCTCTGCGGAAAGGTAGATCTCCAGGAACAGGGTTGAGCACCCCTGATCTAAATGCTCAAAAATGCTGTTTCAGAGGTGAGGTTGGATGTAGTTCAGAAATAAATTCATTAGGATCAATGCTTAAAGTAAATGTTTACTTCTCTCTGTAGACCAAACATGCTTAGTATCCCACACATTTTAATGAATTATTTATTTTGGTTACTTTTACATCTATATATGGGTAAGCAAGTATTTAATAAATAAAATTATTTTAAACCACTTAACTAAATGACTCTATTACCCTAGCTTCTGGGAAAAAAAACATGTAAAATAACAGATTTTTTTTTTTTACAGTGTGGGTGAACATACTACCTTGATGTCCAACAAAGACTGCACAAGAGCTCATTTGATGGCACATATTCTGTCCTGTCTACATCTCTGACAACCTGGCAGTGCTTCGACATCAGTGAGTAATAAATCTTCATATTATCATGCATTCAGGATTTCTGTAAGCCTATCTTTAATTTTAGTTTGTAATTAGCAGTGACTGTTTAAAAATTTGGTATTTAAATTATTCTTAACGTTTTACTGATGCTGTGCACAGTAACGTTATGATTATTTAATTTGAGGAAATGTCACTGGAGAGGTGTAATAATATTTATTTTTCTCACTGACATGCCATCACTGCATATTGAAATACAGTAATACTAATTGACCGCAAAATACTATCACAAACATTTCATGAAGTAGACTGCTTGACTACTCTTCATTTCTTTGCTCAACTTTAACACATTTGATCGTGTTGCTGTGCCTTTCGGCAGATTTTGCCAAAAATGAATGCTTAGTGATTACTTTGTTTAATGCGAACCAAATGTCAGTAACTTATCATTAGTATTATTTTTTTTTTAAATCACCCACGGCTTTCATGTTCTCTAATGTAATCTTGTCTGTAAGTTAGAAGTAGATTTTCACATGTTAAAAGCCTAAAAGTACTTGATTAACATTAGTCACGTTAAATTAGATTATTTTATTTATTTATTTATTTTTAATATGTAGCCTCTTAAGGTCAGAATTAACTGTGTTCACCCCTCTTAAATTCATGGAAGCGCTAGTGTGGTCATGGAATCAGATATTCAAGCTATACAGAGTCAGACATTAAGTTAAGATGAGACTTTATTTTTTACATACCTGTGTGGACACTTGACTAGTGTTGACTTGACTGATCTTTTCCCCATTAACGTTAGTGTAATTGTAAATAGACAACAATCTGTATTTTGTCAACAAAAACGATAAAAAACAGTGTTTTATATATATAAAACAGCAGTGCGGTGTTTGGTTTCTGAATGAATGAAATAATTTGAGGCATGATTAGTTTTTACTCCAGTGATTAATTTTGCTTGTCGTTTTTGCAGGATCACCAGAAGTGCTCCTGCCCTTTTTCACTGTCCGTTTTCCACAACATCATTTGGCCTTCATCATTTCGTGTCTTGTAGCAGTATTTTTTATCTGTTTTTAAAATTGTAATACTTTTTGATGCATTAATTGTTGACTGGTTTTACTGATCAATTTTTCATTAGTGTTCTGTTGCTGTGTTATATTGAATAATTGCTACTGTTTCAGTAGGGTTTACACAATAAACTTTTATTGTGAAGTTAAAGTTTCAGTTTCTTTATTTTTCTTGTATTTCTTGAACAGTTAAAATAACATTTGTGCAATTTTTGAACTTTTTTGCTCATTATAAAGTAGCACTGTTAAATACAATAAAATAACATTTAATAACTGTAAAATACTATACAGTAATAATGAAAGTAACGTTAAAATACCGTAGTTCTGCATGGTAAAAATGTACAGTAAAATACTGTTTTCAGTTTTGCAGTATGTGTATTACTACTGTAATTGGTGTTACAGTATAAAAAGAAAACAGTAAAATGATGTATTACATTTTACAGTAAATCTAATACTAAAGTAATTAGTATTACAGTAATGTTACTGTTTTATGAAATACAGCAGCTACTGGATAATTGTTGCCAGTAACTTACTGTTAATTTAACAAGAAATCGTTTACAGTGCGGATTGCAATAGCAAAACTTCACTATTTAGAGCAAGGTAGAGCCCCAATATTACTCTGCTTAGGGCCCCCAAATGTACACGGCCGGCCCTGCCCGCAGGTGGGGCAAATAGTAACATTTATCCTCCTGGCATTTTTAGCAACACTGCACAGAAACCATAGATCCGGCGATCATACAACCAGCGCTCATTTGTAGGAGAGGCTTGTGTGTTGTTGGTAAAAATCAAACGGTTTGTCTAACTCCATTACTTTATTCATTACTTGGCCAAAACCAAAAACTTTGTGCCCCACTCTTCCCTACATCATGTTAAATGTCTCATTATTAAGCCTGTTATCACATATTGTTTTCTTCAGGAACTCCTATCAAAAGCGAAATGTTTCTTGATCATCAAATCATAATGATTTCTGAAGGATCATGTGACAGCTTCACATCACAGCTGTCATTTATGTTTAAATCTATTCAAATTCAACGAAGACAGCTATTCCTAATCCTAATAATACTGTTTTACTACATTCTTAATCAAACAAATAGATAAGCACAAGTTCCTTTTTCGTATATACACACAGAACTACAGATGCTCCTCATTTCTCATCCACACCAACACCATAGTGACATAACAGCTCCAGCAATTCCTGTCAAAACGGGTCAGAGGAGCAGCTAAGAATAATAGAGGTTAATTGTGAATTATTTATACGTACAAATCATTACACAACAATCTCAACACAACGCGAGGGTTATATGAAGCTCATGTGCACATTCATAATGCCACAGCAGAGCTGAATAAAGGCCAAAGAGACAGCCACGACGCTGGAGAAGCGCAATACACCGACATGCAGGCGTTATAGAAAGAAGCAGCGTCGTATTTCAGGCTCTTATTTATAGGCGGCATGTGCTCGAAATCGAAGATCAGCAGAAAAACGCGTGAGGGTCGTGATTATTATTCATCCATCCATCCATGCATCCATTCATTCATTTCAATGGATTCTCACAGAGCTCTAAACGCTCATCACCCTCGCGTTCACAATTAAAGACAGATGAAATCAAACGGCCAAGAGGCTCCATCGCGTCCATCTTCAGCTCAATCCCAAACCAAAAAACCCTCAAACCCTGCGGGATCATCCTCATCCCGCATCTTACATCCGCCTGATCATCAAAGGAGCCGCGGGCGCGCCTGGAATTCTCCTGAACGGATACAATGTTGCAAACCAACCGAACGCGGCGGCCAAACGTTCCAAAAATGATTTAAGCGAACGCATTTTAGCGCCAGTACCTGCCGAAGAGCGCGTTCCACCCACCTGAAGTGTGTCACTGCTCTTAGACTTCGCGATGTGGCTCGACTCCACCCGAACGCGACGAGGAAAAACCCGCAACACCTCGAGCTCACCGTCCGCGCGCTCCTCTGCCAAACGCGCTCACACGTCGAGTGTTTCCCCGGTTAGTTCTCACTCTCTTCCTCTTCTCTCTCTCTCTAGTTCATAAGATGTGAGGGGAACCTCGGTGTGACGCAGGAGAGGATGCAGGTGTCGCTGCGCCTTTAAGATCCCCGACGGACACGCGGATGAGCGTCCGGCGCGCACTCCCGATATTCGGTATCGCCGGAGGATCGTACAGGGAGATTTTTTAGTTGCCAGGGCGCTCCGGAGGCACGTGAGGTTTCCCTGCTTATTGTGACATCACCGGGTCTCCCAGTCACCAATATGACGCTAGCGAGCGGCCGTGACGTAACTTAAAGCAACTTTTAAACACGATAGCAGGGTGATATGGTGGTACTTTGATTCCTCCTCACACTGTATTGAAATCCACATATTCTTATTTCTTTGGTACATTTTTAGCAAAGCACTTTAATATGCTTAAATGTTAAATATAATGTGCAATATGCAAATGGAATGTCATATTAAAAGTGTTTCATGGCAAGCTCAAATATGATCACATTTATGTTGCAGTTTAAAAATTAATCTCATTAAAGTTACTACTGTTATGATGAAAAAACCAAAACACCTTTAGACACATTATCATGTTGATAAGTCCACGCCCGTAGCTATTTAATTGACCACTAGCCAAAGTTTTTAGACACAAATGCACACATTTTCTTCTAACTTACTGTTTGTTTTGTTAAGATTTTAAATTTTATTTGGACAAAATCACTAGCTCCAACAATTTGAAAGCATTAATATTAATAATGTGCATCTTATAATATAATCTATTTTTTATAATATAAAGTTGGCTGTAATCTCTCTGATCATTTTTGGATGCGCCTTTAAATGTTTATATGCAGGCCTGTAGCCAGCCTGGTGGTTTTTCTCAATAAGTGGACTTATTTGCAGTTATTCACCTCATTTTCAATTTAATGAAGAGGTTTAAATACTGCATTTTAATCACATTAAGCACTTTTCTGTTTAAATAGCTTGTCAGATGGTCATCATAACCAAACTTTTTGATGTACCAAAACATTTCCTAAAATATTCTGAAAAAAACAAAACATTAAATTATTACATGATTTATCATTAAGAAAAAAAATAGGATTCGCTAAATGTTTTTAAAGACAGTAGCTTATGTTCATTTATTAGGCAAATAATAATCTGGCCAGCAGATTCAACTTTCCTCAGTTAGAATTGAGCCATTTGAATAAAACAAATAAGTAAAAAAACAATAATGGGTCACACTTTTTTGATGCTGTTTGTTGAATTTAAGTTACTTTGCATCTACATACCAACTAATTCTTATTAGATTATAGGTAGACTGTTAGGTTAGGGTTAATGTGCTTAATAATGTGTCTTACAGTCAGTTAAATATCTGTTGAAGGCACAATATCAGCAGACATTAAGCAGACGGTCTACTAACACTCAAATGGACCAACAAAATAAAATGTTATCCAATAATAGTGTAGATATTCAGTTTCTCTAGATTTTTCTCTGGTAAAAAAGTTAAACTGAATAAAAATTCATGGATCGCAATAGCGTGATTAGTATTAAAATGTACTTTAATAATTTTGGTGCTTAACACCTTTGGTTTCATAATACGATCCAAGATAAAATTTCCTTGCAAAATGATTTCTCTATTTAACAACAATACAGTAGGTCAGTAGGGAAAGATCACTTCGCTTTGGTCTGATTGTGTTTTCTTGCACAGATGTTGGACTCATGAAAAATAATAGTTTGCAATGGACATAAACTGATTAGCTGAAGTCACAACAGCCGATAGAGGATCCCATTTGGTCCTAAAGCCTTCTTCGATGGGTTTGTTACACTATTTATGATGGCATTCATTCATTTTCTTTTCAGCTTAGTCCCTTTATAAACCAGGGGTCGCCACAGCGGAATGAACCGCCAATTTATCCAGCATATGTTTTACGCAGCGGATGCCCGTCCAGCTGCAACCCAACACTTGGAAACACTGCTGCACACTGGTGGTGGTGTGGAGAGACCCTCTCATGATTGTAAAGTGCATTGAGTTTATGGCCATACATGATACATCCACTATAAAAATGAACATGACTGACTGACTTACTGTTGGAGGAAAAAGGAGAACCTGGGGGAAACCCACACAAGCGTGGGGAGAACATGTTAACTCCGCACAGACATGTTAACTGGCCTGGTAAGGACTTGTACCAGTGACATTCTTGCTGTGAGGCAACAGTGCTAACCACTGAGCTGCCGTGCCGACTTATTAAGAAAAAGGGAGGAGGAATAGGAGTGGAAAGGATGAATTCTTCAAGACTAAGACGACTGAGGTAAGAAACTCTGGTTATTTATAGTGAGTTAGGAATGATCAGATTGATGAATCGTGTGTTAGCTAATGCAGGACCAGCTGTGATCAATCATAAGCACGTGATCCTCTCCAAATTCACATAGTTGAAATTTAACAGGGAGATTATAACCTTTGACTTAAACTACAGTAGTCAACATTTGAAGTGGATCAAACATGTGTCCTAAGACAACTTTGATGAAAGTTTTGATCCACTTTAAATGTTGACTACTGTGCATACACTCACCGGCCACTTTATTAGGTACACCTGTCCAACTGCTTGTTAACGCAAATTTCTAATCAGCCAATAATATGGCAGCAACTAAGTGCATTTAGGCATGTAGACATGGTCAAGAAAATCTGCTGCAGTGGGCTCAGCTGGGCTCATTAGTACAAATTGAGCATTGTGTCAACGCCACAGCCTACCTGAGTATTGTTGCTGACCATGTCCATCCCTTTATGAGCACAGTGTCTCCATCTTCTGATGGCTACTTCCAGCAGGATAACGCACCATGTCATAAAGCGTGAATCAACTCAGACTGGTTTCTTGAACATGACGATGTGTTCACTGTACTCAAATGGCCTCCACAGTCACCATATCTCAATCCAATAGAGCTCCTTTGGGATGTGGTGGAATGGGAGATTGGCATCATGGATGTGCAGCCGACAAATCTGCAGCAACTGTGTGATGCTATCATGTCACTATGGAGCAAAATCTCTGAGAAATATTTTCAGTTCCTTGTTGAATCTACTCCATGAAGGATTAAGGCAGTTCTGAAGGCAAAAGGGGGTCCCAATGCTGGTACTAGTAAGGTGTACCTAATAAAGTGGCCGGTAAGTGTATATTCGCCTTTTCCACTTCAGCACAGGTATCACAGCATATGAAAGACTGTAAACTCCTGATTTAGCAGCTCTTCTGTGGCACTGCTGCACAAAAAAAACAACAACATTTCTATCATTTAGTAATAACATCGTACAGAAAGAAAACAAGTGCAATCATCAACAATCAAAATTTCATGAATATATTTATATTATATATAGGTGACAATTTATTACATATTTCATAAATACAAAAAAACAAATCGGAAATAAATGTCCCAGCCAGGCCTTGGTGAACAGATCAATCTTAAATTACACAAACCAATGATAACAATACGCTTTATGATACTTCAGTCAAACAAACCCACACAGGTTTCTTCACAAACTCACACAAAATAACATCCATGTGTTTTTCTCAGGGAACTGTGAACATGACAATACTGTGCACGATAATTAAAAGAGAAATGTAGACGGTTAAAGCATGGGAAACTTTCAGAAACAAACAAACACGTGACTCTGTAAACAGCAGATGAATTTTCAGTGACGGCTTCAGTTAAACTCATATGCTTGATATTTCAGAAATGAATGCGGACAGAAGTTGTAGTGGGGAACAAAAGCCGAAAGCATTCCCTTTCTGGTAAACACTAAAATGTAAGACAAGATCATTCAGTTATTGTAATGTAAGACTGAAAGCAAATACAAATGACAGGAAAAACATGCATTAAAAAAGGCCAAGATTTGTCGACAGGTAGACACTCGTTTTATTCAATTCAATCATTTTTCCTCCACATTTAAGGCTCATTGACATTTAAGACTTGAAGAGCGTCTGATTCTTCTTTTTTAAACTAATAAATATTTGACTTTGAATAGAAATCAGGTTGTTTTTGTAACCCAAATGTGAATTAAAGCGCTAGTGATTTAATCAGGAGGGTCCTTACGGAAGCTTCTTTCTGCCACAGAATAAAAAGACAAAAAAGTAATGGCATTTTCTAAAATCTCAAAGCATAAATGTCAGAATTATGAGAAATGTATTTAAAAATAAATGTGAAAAAACACTTAAATGTGCAATTTAAACCATATTTTTCCCAGAAAATGTCTCAGAGTTGTGAGTTTTTCAGAATTTAGAGAAATTATATGAACTGCAAATGCAAGAAACAGCTATAATTGATGATATAATAAATAAATAAATAAATATATAATTTTTCCCCTCACGATTCTGAAAAAAAAGTCTAAACTGTGAGATATAAACCAAAATACTGATAAACTTCCACAATTTCTGGGATAAAAATTAAATTGAGTAAATATAAAGATCATTTTATTTTATTTTTCACCTCACGATTCTGAGAAATAAAGTCTGAATTGCGAGATATAAATAGAAAAAATGCTGAGGAACTCACCAGATACAAAAAAACAAATAAATGTCTTCGTTTGTGTCCTACAATTTTCCAATTTCTGTGATAAAAAATATATATATATGTGTATGTGTGTGTATATATATATATATATATATATATATATATATATATATATATATATATATATATATATATATATATATATATATAATTATTATTTTCACAGTTCTGGGAAAAAAGTGCATATATTTTTGCTAAATTTGGAGAATTGCAAGATACAAACGGAGACTGTGATTTGCATCTGGTGAGTCTGTTAGCATTATTTTCCGTTTAAATCTCACAATTCAGACTTTTTTCTCAGAATCGTAAGTGTAAAAATAAAATAAAATAATATATAATACTATATATATATAAAATTATATATATATATATATATATATATATATATATATATATATATATATATATATATTTTTATAATTATTTTTTTTACTAATTTTAATGTTTATCCTAGAAATTGGAAATTGCAGGATACAAAAGCAGACATTTTTTATTTTATTTTTTTATTGCATCTGGTGAGTTTGATGAGTTTATCAGCATTTTTTGGTTTACAGTAAATCTCACAATTCAGACTTTTTTCTCAGAACTGAGAGGGGAAAAATTATATAGATATATCATTATTATCACAGAAATTGGAAAATTGCAGGACACAAACGATTTATTTTTTTGCATCTGGTGAGTTTCTCAGCATTGTTTCCCTTTATATCTCACAA